GCACCGAGGGAGTACCGTAACTGGAGGCTTTGCACGCGTCGGGCCCTGGGAGGCGATGCTCGTCCGACGCTGTTTCGATACATTTCTGAGGGCTGGAAAGGATTTCTGGGATGTGGTCCCTGAGTACAGTGCCGTTTTTGATACATGCTCCGCGTGCGGATCATGTATTAAACATGCAGGGATTTAATACTAAAAACAACGATGAGGCCATGCATCAATGTGTTCATACATTGATCATGCTTTAAAATCATATGTGTTTAAACATCCCATGCGTTCAAAACTGCCCTGCACGGTGGGAAGAGCACAACTCTCGGGGTGCCGCTCCGGATCTTGCACGCTCTCGGGGCACCGATATCCTGGTGCCCGGGGGCCCCGTGTGCGGGCCACAAACGCCGGGGTCGGCGCAGGCGCGCCGTGCGAGGGCGCCCCCCCCCCCCCGAGCCTTATGTCGGGCCTGTCTTCCTACAGGGGGATTTTCGATGAGAAAAAAGAAACACACTAAAAATAGTCCAAAAATGCTCCCAAATTAGTCTGGGGACTTTTTTCTAGTATCTGTTTGACTTTGTTTTTGTTTTTTGTGGGTATTTTTTTATCATTCGTCGAAAATGCCTCTGTAGGGGGACAGGCCCGACTTAATACTACCGCTGTTTGCGTTCGCGCATGCACGATTTTTCGGAGCTGGGTCCCTGGCGCCGTCGGCCGAACGAGTGCGTTTCTTCGCGGTGATCTAAAAGCCAACGGTTTCATGGAAAAGGACGTTTCATTCTTTGAATTACTAGTGATATTTTTTGTGCCATACGTTTTTGGTCTGTCATTTGAAAGTTGTCCACCCGCGTCGCAGAGCGTTTGGCCACGCGACTCGCCGCCGCAGAAAAGTCCTTCGGTGTTCGGCGCCGGCCGCGCAGACGCGGCGCCGAACCCCCGCGGAAGGTCCGCGGGCAGGCGCAGGCGCTGGCCGCCGGGCTGCTGCACGCGGACGATGGGCGCGGGCTGCTCTTCGCGGCGCTGCGCCGGGGCGCTGGCCCGGGGGGGGCAGAACCTGGGCTCTTGGGCTCTTCTTGATTCTCTCGAGCCTGGACGGTGGAAAGGGGCACGGAAGGAATGGGTACAGCAACCGACGGCAGTGCTTGGTCGTTTTGAGCAGGGCCCGCCGTCGCGGTCTCGCCGCGGGCGGCGTCCAGCTGAGACAGAAGGCCCCCCGCCCAACAGCGGCCGCAGATGGTTTTGGCAACCATTTGTTCTTTGGCATGGTACCGTTTTTGTTCCTTATCCATGTCGGGCGTCCAGATCGAAAAGACCACCAGTCCAAGCTCGTCTTGGAGTGCCCCAAACGGCCATACCTCAAGCGGCCATGCCCAAAACGACCACGCCGATCTCGTTTAGAGATGCTCGAAAGCACTGGTGCGTAGGATGCCAGCGTGCGCTTCTTACGCGCGCGCGCACCGACGCCGTACTCCCGCCTTACGCACGCAGGCCTAATTTGGCCTCCCAGAGTCTTGCATAGGGGAACAAAAAGTGGCATAAACATAACAACTCGGAGGTCCGCGCGGATTTCTCGGATCGGCGCTGGACCCCCGTCCCTGGCGCGCGGAGCGCGCCAGGGGGCCCCAGCGCCGATCCGAGAAATCCGCGCGGACCTCAGAGTTTTTATGTTTATGCCACTTTTTGTTCCCCTATTTCATGAATCAAGGGGCGCCCAAGGCACATCCCAGGAGAGGAAAAAAGGGACAGATGCCGCGGCCCTCTGCTCGTCCTGGTATGTTTTTGGGCCTCCCGGGAGGCCCCCGTTGCCACGGCGAGATTCGGGAGGGAAAGAAACACACAGACACAATGAATCGTCGGTTCCCCCGAACATATGGGAAGATATGGGAAGTGGGGGGGAAGACAAAAACTCAGAAAATATGAGGAAATGTGGGGAATCCTGTTATTTGTGTGTATTTATTTGTGTGTCATGTCTGGGGATGCTATTCTCGGACTTTGGGTTCTCGACGGTCCGTTTCGGCCCCCAGGGCTGCGAGGAATTGACCTGTGGGGTGAAGCACCAGTCATGGTGGACCGCTGATGTGGGGAGGATTTGTGCCAGTAGGGTCAGAGGCCTACGGGCGCGCCGATACCGATGCCAGTCCGCCAGTCCCTCGTTTTGGCATGTTTATGTTTGGAAGCTGGGCTGGATGCGCCTCGGAGTCGTGGTCGGAGCGCACGCCAGGGAGAGCTCAGAGGGGAGTCGTGGCATTTGTATAATATTGTGCTGCCCCATTGGGATCGGCGCCGGGGTGGCTGAGTGAATAGGGGGGTTTATCTCATCAAGCACAAACTCCTAACCCTGATAACGTGATGAAGACGCGGCCTCATTGAGGTCCCCGTCTTCGCATTAGGGATAATAGGTTTGGGCGATTTGGTCTGCTACATCTGCAGGAAAGACGCCCTATCCCTAATGTGATTGGCCCTCCTAACTTAGGTCCCCTCCCAAAGGTTTAGGGGTCCTTTTTTGGTGAATCCTTCTCAGTGGATGCCGAGGTGGGTTTCATCTGGCCTAACATAGCTTATGAGTGGATCACAGAGCCCCAAATGGCTTGCGGGACTTTGCGATCTGGGCTAAGCGGGCTTCGCCCACTGAACGGAGTTTATCCAAGCTCCTTAAGCCATTTTGGGCCAGTTGCAACCCACTGATAAGCTAGGCTGGGCCAGGTATAACCTTCCTTGGCATCCGTTGATAACCCACCTATCTCCTTAGCCACACCTGCGCGCGTCCCAGCAGGCTTGTGCCGGCAGGACTTGTTTAGATATTCGGTTACGCTGCACGTGGTGCCGAGGCCCAGCTCAGACGTCGTCAACCTGGTCCTCGACCTGCTCCCCTTCGACGCGTCGCTGCGCATCAGCCGGGCTGCCTGGACTAGGACGCTGGAGAGATGGCAAAGCCACCTGGCGCCGACGACGCCCGGAAGAGTCTCGCCGGAGGCCGTGATGGGAACAAGGCATACAAGCAGGAAGGAGAGAGCACGCCCGTGGATCGCTCCTTATGAAAAGGGGTGCCCCAGCTTCAAGCTCCCCCCCCTCCCTGTGGAAAAGGGGGGTGGCTTCCGACACTGCCCTCCCCCCGCCCCCCCCTGTTGTGGCGTTTGTCAGCAAGGCGGGGGGGGCTTGGAAGCTCTGCCCCCGCCCTCGCCTCCTTTTGGGGGGCCTATGGTCGGCTCGGGCTCCCCGTTCCGAAGGGGCGGGGGGGGGGGGCTTCGAGGCTCTCCTGCCCCCTTCTGTTTGGATGTTGTGGCTGGGGGGTCCCTGGCTAAAGGTGTGGTGGGGGGGAGGGCTTGGAAGCTACCCCCAAGCCCCACCCCCTTTTTAGAACGGAGGGGAGAGGGGGTTGGTAGCGGCTTCAGGAGCGCGAAAGGGGTGGGTGGGGGGTAGCTTCCGAGGGGCGGAAAAGAGGGGGGGCAGAGGGGGGATTCAAAACGGGGGGGGCGGAGCTCAGCCCTTCTCCGTTTTGGAAAAGAGGGGAGGGGGGGGTACATAGCTTCTGGAGCGCGAAAGTGGAGTGAGGGTGAGGATTGCTTCCGAGGGGCGGAAAAGAGGGGGGGGGGAGGGGGAGGGGCTCCGGGCAGAGGAGGTCAAAGGGGGGATAGCTAAGGGGGGCCCCTCCTCCTTCGGGTGTGATCCACGGGCGCGCTCTCACGCATAATCCGTAAGGGCTTCGCCCCCTGCCGCCGGTGCCCTCTCTCGGAGAATGGGCCATGGAAGAGCTAAGTCATGAGGTCTTGGCGCTGTCGTGAAGCAGTATCGAAACTTCATGCGAAGCCGATTCGCAATCAGCAAAACCAACTGATCACAAGAGGGGTTACCACACCTGGCGATTGGTAAGACGTGTATGGTTTACGGGCTTGGTTACCACACCTTGCGATTAAAGGGCCGAGGGAGTTCTCGCAGTTTGGGTTACCACGCCTTGCGATGGATGTGCGTGAAGGGTGGCACCGAATTTCAGAAATGTGGCAAATCCCCTGTGTTTTTGGACCCTGACCCCGCGGATCTGCGTGAGGGGTGGCACCGAATTTCAGAAATGTGGCAAATCCCTTGTGTTTTTGGACCCTGACCCCGCGGATCTGCGTGAGGGGTGGCACCGAATTTCAGAAATGTGGCAAATCCCTGTGTTTTTGGACCCTGACCCCGCGGATCTGCGTGAGGGGTGGCACCGAATTTCAGAAATGTGGCAAATCCCATGTGTTTTTGGACCCTGACCCCGCGGATCTGCGTGAGGGGTGGCACCGAATTTCAGAAATGTGGCAAATCCCATGTGTTTTTGGACCCTGACCCCGCGGATCTGCGTGAGGGGTGGCACCGAATTTCAGAAATGTGGCAAATCCTATGTGTTTTTGGACCCTGACCCCGCGGATCTGCGTGAGGGGTGGCACCGAATTTCAGAAATGTGGCAAATCCCTTGTGTTTTTGGACCCTGACCCCGCGGATCTGCGTGAGGGGTGTCGATTTCGAGCCCCCCCAGCAATTCAGACAACGCGCCCAGGGGACGCTAAAAAGCCACTTTGGGCCTCCCCCCCCCTCGTGCGGTCAATCAACTAGTTACAGTAACCAGCAATAAGTCAACTAGTTACAGTAACCAGCAAGAAGCAGAACTGTAACACTGGAAACTACAACCTACGACTGGTACAGGAAACTGCGAATCACGGGCCTACAGCCTGGTGGCCCCACAAGGGGGCCGGCGGATTTG